GGTATTTTCCAGGATTATCAATTACATTAATTCCCATAACCCTGAAAGCTTTCTCTTTAGCACCATCATCAGCATTATAAGAGAAAAAAAATACATGACTTGTCCAAGTTCACTACTTGATTAGAAACACAACAATAATCATCAAGACATGCTTTAAAAACTTTGCAATTTTTCCTCTTTACACTCACAAAGAAAAGCGCATTGTCTGCAAAAAAAAATAATGAGATAACATTGGACATTTTTAAGCCAATATAATACATTTTAACTCGCTTGTATCCATACTACTTTAAACCATGGCAAACAAAACATCTATTGCTAAACCTAATACCTCTTATAAGTTCTAACTTTACAATATGTCTTCTTAAAACTACAAATTTAAACTGATACTCCATCACCTAAAAAATTCACTTCTCACTAAGACCTATCTTTCTCATCACCCCTTTAATAAAACACAATTCCAATCTATCATATTTCTTATTCCTATCAACCTTTACTACCATTTCCACTTTATTCCCCTCCTTCTTACTCTTCAAATAATGAAAAGCCTTATAAGCAATTATGATACTATTTTGAATCAACCTATTTGCAACAAAAGCTCTCTGATTACAAGAAATAACTTTACTTAACAATCCCTTCATTCTATTTGCCAATATTTTAGACACAATCTTGTAAGCAAAATTACATAAACCAATTAGCCTAAATTAAACCACAGTTTCAACCTTATCAACTTTAGGAATCAAGACTACATTAGTTTTATTCACAGCCTTTAAGTTAAAGTTTTTCAAAAAAAAGTCACCATACTCATCACTTCACTACTAACTTTCCCCAAGCTGACTAATAAAAAATTCTTAAGAAACCATAAGGTCTAAGAATTTTAGTCCTTCTAAGCTGAAACATTGCTTCTTGATTTCTATGACAATGATAGGCTTTCCAGTAATATATTATTAGCATCAGTCACCTAAATTTTTCACCAAACATAATGCTTTCCCCATATTTTGCATACTACCAGAAGCAGATAACTTATTATGAAAAAATGCAAAAGCAACATTAATTTGCTTAGCCTCTTTAATCCATACTCCATCATCTCCTTTTAGCATTACCACCTTATTCCTTACCATTCTTTGCATAGTGCACGAATGCAAAAAAAAAAAATAATACTCTTACCTCCAGCATAAAGCCAATTCACTCAAGATTGCTGCCACCAAAACTTCTTCTCCTTATCCCATGCTTTTTCTATTTGACTTATTAAGATTGCTGCTTCAACTCTCTTCCTTTCATTCCAAATACCTTTATGATACTTTTCAAGCTTCAACATCAATAACTCTACTTGCTTTCTAGTATTCAGGAAAACTTTTTTAGCCTATTCTACCAAATACTTTCTACACTTTTCAAGCCTCTACACTAACACAATCACTTTATCTTCATTACAACCTACTCCAACCCTTTTTGGCAATCTATAAGAAGTCATCATGTTTTGTCTAGAGTACGTCAAATCTAAACACCTTAAGTACTCTAATATGCTCATACTTGAGATCAACAATAAGCATATGATAATCAAAACCCACTAGTTCCACAAACAAAACAACAACACTCTAAAAATCATTTCTAAAGTCAACATTAGCCATAGCTCTATCCAATCTTTCTTCACATGATCATCACCAATCCTGCCATTGCACTATGTAAAAGCAACCCCTTTATACCCAAGATCCATCAATCCATAATTTTCAAGAACATTTTGAAAATTTAGAATACATCTTAAGTTCACAAGCTTCACTCCCAAATTCTTAGAACTTGAACGAATATCATTAAAGTCCCCCCACGCATCTATGGCCCTGAAATACCACCAATTAAACCCTTAAGCTTCCTCTAAATCCTCTACTTATCCTCAACTCTTAGGGTTCCATAAATAAAGATCATAAAATTTAGGTCTTCAACAGTATTAGGCACAATACTTATATGTATTATATTTCTACAACAACTCCACATATTTACCATCACATTACCAACTATATCTATATATGCCTCCTCATCCAGATTACACTTCTTTTTAATTTTCACCAATATCTTTTGCTTTTCTTATTTCTATTAAAAAAACAACTACGGGTTTATTCAACTTACATTCCTCCCTCAACTTCTTAACGATCAAGGCCACCTAAGGCCTTAACAATTTCAACTTAAGAGTTTTATGGTGTCTTGGTGCTTGTTTAAGTCCAACCACTAATAACTTTATTCAATTCAACACCACACAGACCATTCATAATAGCTTCACCACATATTGTTTCCCCTATCTTCACATCCTTCCTTTTACCTCCCTTCCACATTATAGCTTTAACCTTGTGCATACTTTTTGAATAAACAAAAACCACTGCCTTATAACTAACTCTTTCTTCTCTAATGTTCCTCCTTTTAATACTCATATAGTCTAACTCTTCTTATGCTTCTCATTTCAAATTCAGTCCATTAATTTTCCCAACTACTAATTGGATATGGTTTTTTTTTATTATTAGAACCAAAGCCTATTTACTCCTTTCCTCCTCATAATCTACTATTAAAAGATATGCCAATCCAACACCAGGTTTAATCTTCACTTTCCCAGCCTTGTTAAAACTCAATCCAATAATCTCAGGCTCATCTACCTTATTTTCTTCACCATCATCTTTAGCATGAGTAAGTCCATTACCACTATACTCACCTACCACATCCTTTTCTTTCATCATTTATGCTTTGACACTTTATGCCACCCGTTGACTTCCCTTATTCCCCTCACTCAGCCTTATGACAAACATATCATCTTCATCTTCATTCTAGTCCACAAATTCATTACTTTCCCTCTCTTACTTTACTTCTCCTTTCCTATCTATGTTCACCCCCCTCCTTCAGCAAGCCTCCGACCAACCTTTCCTAACCACCACTGTTACCTCCCCTTAAACTGCACTAAATTAGTTGAAAGTCATGCACCATGTCTAAGCAAGTTAAGATTAGCCAACGGCATTAACCTAACAGAACCACATGACTAGAAATCATGACTTAAGTGGCCACACTAATAGCAAAAATTTTATAGTTTCTCATACCTCACTATAACCCAAACCTTCTCCTTATTAGGCTTTGGCAGCCAGAAACTCAAAGCCAATGCCTTCCTTAGATTCAGAATAACAAGAACTCTTAGAAAACCACGCATTAATTTGTTATTCCACCTCATATTTTCTACCATTATAACCTCTCCTACTCAACCACTAATTTGAATAGCATTCTCAAAATCCATTGCTGCCAATGGTATGTTATGCAACTTAATCCATATTAGATAAAAGCTAAAATCCAATTCCTTAATTGCCTTATATCCATGCCACTTCTGTATGTTCAGAAGATGGCCATTAATTGACTATGGCCTTCCTCACAAGATCCTTTGATACTCATCCTCATCATCAAACTTGAATGCAAACGCATTCTCTTATAGGTCCATGATACTCAATCCATCTTGTAGATACCATGCCTTCGCACCACAAATTCAAAGGTTGGCTTATTTGTTCCTTTCTCAATCAAATGTTTACCAACCAACACTTTCCCTGACTCTCCTTCACTCTAAATTGACAATTAGTTAATCACTACATTAGAACCATCATTATCCTCTATACCTTATCAACACCAAGATCACAACCACCTAATCACTGTACCTCTGATCACCAATCATACACACTCACTCATAACTCAAACTCTCACAAACCTAGTGCGGAGATGGTCCTAGAGCTCTCACTAATGGAGAGAGTCCATAAAGTTTAAGAGTAATTAAGGATGAAATTACTCACAGGTTTTTCGAAGTTAAAAGTATTATTTCATTATGGCCTCTTACTCTCACTTTCAAAAAGCTAATTTCTATCAAGGTGATGACATGGGGTCATGTTTCCGGAATAAATGTTACAAAGAAAGATCTAAACTAGAATATCATTATATGGAAAAATCATGATATGTGTTCTTATATATGTACATATATAACAAAAAATTTAGGGGAGTAAAGTCTCAAGAGTTATCCGAATAAGGGCATGCCTTTAAACTAAAAACCAAGCTTACAAAATTACTTACAGATAGCCTAACTTAGTTTTATGACCTGTGTTTTTAAGTAAAAAATTTTGGTTTCCTTGATCAGTGGTTTAAGTGCTTTGAAACGTATAAGAGCTGAATCCCCCCCGCCTTTTACCTTTTGTTCTTCTTTATTCCTGTGTTTCTTTTCCTCTTTTTCATTTTTAATCACTTGAGTGTGCTAGCTTTCGGTCACACTGACCAAGACAAAAAGGAAAAGCCATAGAGAGAGCATTTGTGATAATCATTCGTGTTCTGTAAGATCTGTAACGATTTAAAGGTAGGAAGAACATTATATGATTAATTAAAAGCTAAAGAAACGTTGCAACGTGGAGCCATCAGCTCATTGCAATTCTAATTCTTTTCTTCTCTTTTTTCTTTTAGCCAAAATGATTCTCCAAGAATTATAATTACATGGATCTTTTGACCAATGCATACATACATACATACATATATATGTTTGACCATCATCTGCAGGGGAAAAAAACATCCATCCAAATCACAGCTAAGAGATAACAGTAAAATTAGAGAATTATGTCGATGCTCAAACATGTGATTTAGGCCGAACAAAAAGGAATTTTTTGTCTAATAAGAAAAGAAACTCCTTAATTCACCAACAGGACAAAATATCAGGCTCATGTTGGATCAGAAAGTACAATTATGCAAAACAACTAGTTCTTGGCTTACTTTTCCTGGCATTTTATGCGAGGAGCATTGTATTCTAACTTTTATTAATTGCATTTCATCTTTTTTTTTTTTTTTGTTTGATCAAAAAGTGGGGTGTATCTGAGCTTATGACCCCACGCGATCCATGCTTCATCCTTTTGTGGACCTTGAATTATTGCAGCTTCTCCCAGGTTGAGTATATATATGTGTTGTTCTATTTATATACATACATATTGGATATAAGAGGGCACCGGCACTTTTTTCGTGTTGCATAAAGCACTTGTATCTTGAGCTTGTTTCATGTTGAGAGAATTTTAACCGATTCATGCTAATCTAGATTGAATCAGATCAGGATTTTTTCATGTGAAAATTTTTCTGCCAATGCTATTGCATTGATTGAACTTAAATTCCAGAATTCTAGTTAAGTTGACTTTGCCAGCTGAACCAAGAATTGAGCGCTAAACCACTTTAGTGTGTGTCTGTCACACTTGCCCGGTCCTTTATGACCTTCCCTACCATTTCTGGTGACTTTGCTCAATTCTATTTTTTAATTACTGTTGCTTCTCTTTTCCTCTACCAACCATGTCTGTGCTCTTTTTCCTTATAGGACAATCCATAATATCTAACATACCCACAACAGGATTTTAGCTTGTCGGTGGAAGGTAAGCATGTGCAAGCATCCTATGAAATTTTCCGTTGGGTCTTTTTAATTTCTTCTTATCTGATTCTCCTGTCTGCCATTTCCTTAACTTTCACCTTCAACGTTACTCTTCTTTACTCATTTCAACTCTCTCTTCTTCAAACCAGAAGCAATGACGGGTTGATGAACCTTGAAATTACCTCTTTAATTCACTTGGAAGATGGAAACTAACGTTGTTCAGGTACAAGCTTTGGCACTGGAAACTCATAATTGTTTGGCATTTTCTTCTCTTATTGTTATGGGTTCTCCTAAATTTTCTTGGTTGCTCAGTCAATCGCTTGAGTAAAACCCATATCAGTACTGTGAATCTGAAAATAGTTCGAAACCTTCTGTTTAAGAATCATAACTTTTGTATCTGACGGTCATGACCCATGAATCACTTGACCTCAAGAAATCGAAGTTCAGAATTGAAGGTTTTGGCAGCGTAATAGTCTCTAATGCGTTATTACTTCTTGTTCTATATATTCGTGCTCCAACAACCATATCCGATGTGTGTTTCTAGCTCACTTTACATACTGTTTAAAGGGTAAGTTTTGAAGGCTGATTTTGCAAAATGCTTGAAACGGTTGATAAGAAACTTTGAGTGAACTATTGATGAAATGAAGCATTTTTCTGGTTTTGTTCTTGGATAGTACTGAAAAACATGAACCAAAAATCATGGCTTTGGAAGAAAAGATCTATGGAGAAGACAATCTTTGCAGTGGACAAAGTTACCATTCCTTCAAGGACCATAGAAGCAGAGGTACAAAAGATCCTTCACTGCACTTATTCTTAGGAGAAAACTTTCAAATAGATTTGAAGATGCTTGTCATAAGGTTCTCTGATAAGAATATATCATATGAACATTTCTTACAACTCAGAGCCATAAAGTTTTTCCGCACGTTGATTGAAGAACCTAGTACACTCAGTATCATTTTGTGAGTTTTGTCAAAGTTTTTCTCCTACCATCATTTAAGAAGAGTGAAACGTCACATCAATATAGAGATCTTGGATCTGGTTTATTATAATTATATTTTGTTAGGTACATAAATTTCCAGCTGACATAAATGCTGCAGTGGAGAGATCATCAAAAAGTCTGAATGAGAAGTTGGCTTCAGTCCTCCTTGATTCTCATGATGCAGAGGGTTTTCCACCAAAACATGAACAGACGTCCCGAGGGAAAATTGAAGGTAGGTCACTGTAATATATTCATCTTTTTTGACTCTTTTGATGATTCTATTGGAGGCCATGAACGATAGAGACATGACAGGAAACAAACAAGGACATGTTAAATTTCAAAATATATTCTCCCTTGGTCCTTATTATAAAGGGACCCAGCTTCTCTCTATTTTTTTCTCTCTCCACTTCCTCTCCACTTCCCATTTCAACTGTCAGATTCATTTTTGAATGGTTAAAATTTGATGTTTCATAAAATTATTATTATATTCATTTTTTATAAAATTTTACATTTTAATAATAATTTTATAAAACATCAAATCTTAACTGTTCAAAAATAAATTTGACGGTTGAAATGAGAAGTGGAGAAGAAGTGGAGAGTAAAAAAATGGAGAGAAGCCAAGTCCATTATAAAGACCCCTAGCATGTTTCTTAATATAACATGCTTTGTCTAATGCGTTAATATTTTTCCATCTTGTTTCTCTAACTAACTATAAAACTTCCTAACTAATTAAACAAACACTTCTACCTAATGACTTTTATTGAGGGTAATTTTGAAAATTTACAAGAAATAACTAATGTCATTAATTTTTGCATGAAGTTGTTAATAAGTGCTTATAAGAAGGACGGGAGGGAGTAAAACATAACACAACCACATGCACATATTTATATATCTTGCCAGTATTATCCCATATTTTAAGTACCTTACACAATCAGTTTCTATGTACATCAAAATATCTTTGAATATTTTTCATGGCATCATCGAGATGGGTTTCGAGTTTCTTAGTCTATTTGTATTTTGGGGGATTTTGTCTTGTTTTGGGGCCAATGTTCCGGCCATGTCTGTGCCGAAAAGAAAAAAAATGAAAATACATGCAAGTTCACTAATGTCCATTTTTATGTTTTTTCAGTTTGGGGTTTGGGCAATATTTCCTTCATATATGCTTTTTCCACAGGCTATTAGTATTTCTGTATTTAGTACATCCAATCTGGTTTATGGTTTTGGCTGATCAAATCAATCATTTCTAATCAAAATCTAGGTGAAGATAAAGCAACAGAAGTAGTGGAGTCCTGCGAAAAGGAAGGAGATGAAGATTTAATTAAAGAAACATCAACTGAAAGTATGTTTGGTGCCGTACCAGATTCATCAAAAGAGCATGAGAAGATTCAGAAGGAGTTGGAAGAAAAGTTGCAGGAAAATTGTAAAAGGCTAGCTGACTTAACCATAGAGAATACTAGTCTAACTAATGCTCTTCTTGCCAAAGATAAATCTATTGGAGACCTGCTAAACCGTAACCGTCAGATGGATGCAGAATACAGTACACTAGTTGATAGATTGGATTCCACAGTGAAAGAAAATGCTTTCCTCAAATATGAATTTCACATGCTTGAGAAGGAACTTGAGATTCGAAAAGAAGAGATGGGATATAGTCGCCAGTATGCAGAAGCTTCACACAAACAATATCAAGAAACTGTTCAGAAAGTCTCAAAGCTAGAAGTTGAGTGTCAGAGACTCCATCTGTTGCTGCAGAAAAGGGCGCCCCAGTCTGCTATGGTGAATAGGAAGAATGAAGTTGGTATTATGGGAGGAGATAAAGATATGAGAAGAAGATCAAATCCTACCAGAGATTTGATCTGCAACAAAACTGCTAGAGGAAATTCTCCTGAAGTATCTAACAAGAGCATCAACTTGATGATCAAACGTTTGCAGGATCTGGATGAGGAAAACAAGGCTCTCAAAAGGATTCTAACCAAGAAAAACTCTGAACTGGAATCTTCAAGAAATATGTATGCTCAAACAGCTACCAAATTATCACAGGCTGAGATTCTAGTTAGAAAGCTATCTCTCGATCACAAGTCCATGGAGCTAGGAAGGTTTTATCCTGTATCAAATGAGCTTTCTGTTGTATCAAAGTTTGATATTGCTAGTGATGATGGTGTTAGCTCTTCAGGATCCTGGGCAAATGCACTTATTTCTGAACTGGAACATTTGACAACTGGAGAGATTAAAGATCAGAAGATCCGTAAAGCCATTGAAGTTTCAGAGATGAGTTTGCTGGATGATCTCACTGAGATGGAGAAGCGTGCTATAGTTTCTGTTGATACACCTAAAAGAGAATATTACTCTGATTTAACTAGTAGAGAACTAGTGCTACTTGAACAAGAATTTGGCTTCAGTGACGGGAAGCAGGAGACGGAATTCAGATTTGCAACTTATGAGAATTCATTTGATTGGCTTCAGATTGTTTTGAAAGCCACCTTGGAGCAGCAGCGCATATCAAAACGAAGTTTTCATGAACTCTTTGAGGACATAAGAATTGCTTTGGGTTGTATAAACCCTCCAACTTCCTGTAAATCTGATACTGCTCAAAAGTTCAGGAATTCTAGCAGCTTCAACAGTGCTACGGAGGAAAAAAGCAACCAATACCTGAGTTCCAATTTGAGAAATTCAATGAGTAAGATTATCAAGCTGATTGAAGACATTTCTCCTGTGTCATTAATCTGCAACAATTGCCCATATGATTGCTTGGAGAACCAGAATCCCAGAATACCTCAATCACCAACATCCAAGGAATACTTTGTTCACGTTTTCCAGTGGAAGCTTTCTGACTTGAATCCACTTCTCCATCAACTTGTTCATACATGTAAGGATTTATTAAGTGGAAGAGCTGATCTAGAAGAATTTGCACATGAAGTAGCATTTGCTTTGGACTGGAGCATAAATAATTGTGCCAGCCCCACTAATTCTTCAGTTGCAAGGGATAGAATCAAGAAGCATTTTAGTTGTCATGATTCACAAAATGGGAATGAAAACCAAATAGTTGATGATAAGACGTCTTTAAGTTCACCGTTAGTTGTTTCCCCAGATGATCAACGTGCGTTCTCTAACATGAATGATAATCAGAATGATCTCCTTAAAGAGAACAGAAAATTGAAAGATGAGCTGAGGAGTACAGAATCTGTGAAGAATAACTTGGAAGCGAAGCTTCAATTAGTGAATGAGGAGAGTCAGGGCCTGAAGAAACAACTCCAAGAAGCACAAAATACCATTACAGGACTACAATCGGAATTGGAGACACAGAAGGAATCCAATGAAATCATTGTGGATCAGATTGAAAAACAGAAACTTATAAATGAAGATCTTGATACTCAGCTTGCAATATCGCATGCCAAGTTAAATGACATCTTCCAGAAATTGTCCTCTTTAGAAGTTGAATTGGAGGACAAGAAAAACTCTTGTGAGGAATTAGAAGCAACATGTCTAGAGCTTCAACTCCAGATAGAAAGGTAATGCCTTTTCTATTCTTTTCCCACTCTTTTGTAATTTTCTCTTCTTTTGTTTTCTGGATAACAGTTCTGATTTTGAGAATGTGCAAATTGAACAGTATAGCAAAGAAAGAAGCTCCAGTACATGGCGGACATGAAGTGGAAAAGATGCATCAAACTGTAAGTTCTTTGCATCTTGGTGACTACATGATACAAAGTTTGATTGCCAATGCAATGCTTGATATATTGCAATGGGGTCATAGAACAATCGTAGACTCATAGCAATTTCTTGTTTAGCATGTTCCACTGGCTTAACGTTAGTTGACATTTTCAATATTACTCCTCAATTCACTGATGAAGTCAAGACTCTTTTTTTAAACAATGAAGTAAACACTTCTATTATTTTATAAAATCCAAAATCCTATCAGAAATAATTAGAAAAAAAATTTCAGGGCTTGGAGATCACAACAGCTTCATCAAAGTTGGCAGAGTGCCAAGAAACCATATTAAACCTTGGAAAGCAGCTGAAGGCACTTGCCTCGTCAAGTGACAGTGCACTTTTTGATAGCGTTTTCCTGAAAACCAGTGCTATGGCCAACCCAACTCATGAGAAGAACTTGTTCAAACGATCCTCTTTGCGCAGCCAAATGCAAGCTGAGGATGATACTAAATCAGGGATCCTTCCCTCTTACCAAATTGAAGGAAATAAAACTATTAGTGGTGTTAAGAAGCCACCCCCTCTTCAGTCTGATAACAGTAATGTTCTACAAGTTCCCAATACTCAGGAAACAAATCTAGCCTCGGATCAAAATGATAGAAGCAATATTGCTCTGGGTGCTCTGGCAATGGTGCCAGCTAGAAAACAAGGAGGATTTGGTTTACTGAGAAAGCTGCTGCTAAGAAGGAAGAGAGGGAGGGGTAAAGGAACCCAGTCCTTGGGGAAAACATGACTCTGAAAAGGCAAGAGTATATAGAGTAATTCTTAGGTATGCTCCTCGCACTTAAGATAGGTACAAGAAGAAAATAAGAACTTACCAAAATGAGAGAGTGGATTTCACAACAAAAATGCTCTCTTTTTCGAGTTTTTATCATTTCTTGTACCAATCTTCAACGCAAGGAGTGTTTCTGAGAAACTTTGACTAGGACTAGGCCCAAGATTTGTGTTTAAAATAATACTTGCCTCCCATGACAATCAATTATTCTGTTTGAATGTAATGATTGATTGATTTTAGCATGACGTGATTTTCGCTTTTATAGGCTGGCCTCTTTGATGATTGGATTTGGAGATTATTGTAGTTTGAACTTGAAACCCCCCAGTGTACATAAAAGTTGTATTAAAGATATTTGATATTAAACTTTGTAATAGGTTTTGTATTTGCCTATACACACATAACTGCTTTAGACTGGAATTAGACGAATGAAGCGAAGATTGGACAATCCAAAATAAACTGTCATCATCCTACACTACAGTCATAAAACTATATTTTGGGACAGCGGAGCTGAGCATCACTTTTGCCGATTACAAGGTAAACAGTGGAATTTTTTTGTTAATTACATTACAACAGTGATCTTAACTAGACGCTCTACATATAACTATCCCGGTACTCTTGAAGTTATTGCCTAAATTCCTACAACGTGTATGGATTTTTTTAGAAGGAGCATTCCTTCTCCGCCTTCCTTGGAGACATCAATAGGATAAATCACCGAAATAAAAAGATCAGAGCAAAAGAAAGACTGAAGTTGCACATTCCATAAAAATATCAGAGCAAAAGAAATACTGAAGTTATGCATTTCATTGAAATAAATCTCGTATGTTTATGATCAAATGCACTCGAAGACGAGTTACAGTTTAATTTTTTAATGTCGTACACTCAACGAAAACAAATTATACAGAAGTCAGCTCTTGGCCATGGCTTGATCCTTCATTTCTAGCAATGCATCTTCAAAGCACTTTGCAAGGAACTGTGGGTCGGGAATGATGTCTTTAGCTACCTGGATTTGCATGTCAGCCCTTCCAGCATAGCTCAGCATGTTCAAAGTGAGTGCCTGATTCGATAATTAACATAAAGAGCATAAAAACATAAGTTTAATATTTTACTTGAAAAGGCAGAAATGCAATGAGGATTAGTTGGGTTTAGAGACTGTACATGAGGCAAGGCAGAATTATTTGCCCTCAAGAAAGTTACAGGGTTGCCTGCAATCATAATCTCCTCTTGTGGACCAATCACATTTGAGATTGTAAATGTAGTATTGCAAACAATCCTGTAATTTAGCAAGCAAGCAATCTGCAATGCATATACAGCATTACTTTAGCAGGATCCAGATGGAAGTTGGAAGTTTAATGTACTAAAGATACTGGTATTTGAGGGAGTGGAGGAGAATTAATACGTAGACCAGATAGATCCAAAGAATAATATATAGACGTGTAAGCATGTCGGGACACCTTTTAGTGGAAACCACTTTTGGCATGTTGATGTGTCTTTCGATAATAATAATCCCATAGGAGGGAGTAAAATGTACCTTTGCTCCAAGAGTTGACATTACAAAATCTCCGACTTTGTAAGAGAAGTGGGCCTCCAAAGATTGTTTTTTTCTGTCAATCATTGCCTTAGCTCTTCCCACATATTCTAAAGGATCAGAACGGTTACTTCCATGACATGATACTGGCAGCAAAATCATGCCAAATTTGTTACCCCACCTTGCTCCTGAATTGCTTCTCATCAAATTGGTCGAATCCTGATCAGTATTAGTCGTATTTATCCAACCTCAACATTATATTCTAAGTGAGACCTGAACCATAAATAAAGCAGAAAGCATGCAAACAAGGAAATTATATGTGGGAAGAGTAGACCTGCAAGCCATGATGTGGTCTCAAATTAACCATTGCTACCCCGGTGATCCGGATCTCTTTTTGCAGACCTGATGGAAGGAGAGAGAGAGAGAGAGAGAGAGAGAGAGAGAGAGAGAGATATTGCGACCGCGTAAGCACGCACACCTCTGCATAAACAAGTAGAGAGGCCAGGTACAAATGACTTTTACCATTTGGTGCTCGAAAATCCAGGTATCTTGATAGTCCAGACGATATAATTCCAAATAGAACATCATTTATGGTCTGCAGAACGGTATAGATCAACGAATGTCAATATGAATAAATGTATTCGGAGTTGTGTTTACATGTCTAACTTCTACTTTATAGCCGTGGAAGGCGAAATCTCTACATTATCACATTAACTTAGCGCCCTGTAGCTCAAACAAGTGAAGAAAGGTTTGCGTTCCCTTTATACTCCCCCTAAACCTCTTTATATGAAGCAAATGAGTCTTTTTTAGGCTTAATTGTAAAGAACATCCCTTGCATTTATTAAAAATTTCTTCTCTTTTTTTTTTTTCATTGCATTAGCAATTTAGCATCATTAAATACAGTCACCATGTCAAATGGTCAATGAGGTCGTTCAGGGGGGAAAATTAAATTTCAAACATATTTATTGATCTTTGTTATATTCCTTGATCCATGTGAAATGATTATATTTTTTTTTATAAAGAGGTATGGGGGGAAGTAATTAGAAAAGTTAATCGGTGATCGTATTCTAAAGGAGACTAGGAGAGTCTCAAGCAATAGTACATACTAACATATCTTTGGAATATGTGATGGTGATGGATACAAGTTTAGTTTACAAGTGTACACTGTCTTAAAAATATGATCAAGTTTGAGCATGCTCAGACCTAAATATTTAGTCATGCTACATGCGCCACTATTTTTCTTGACAACATGAATGAAATGTGATTACATCCAACTGCAAGAGGCTCAGCCTGAAAAACAGTTTAAGAACATAAAGTTCTACGGAGAGGGGTAGACAATCCACCTCCTCCTCTCTAGGAAAATCAATCGCAACTGGGAAAAATTGAAGGAAAAAAAATTGCACTTTGTATTCAATAATCTATATATAATGTCTATATATGATACAAAAGTTTATAAATCAAAATTGCATTATTTATAAGTCAAATCATGACTCGATGATTATTTATATGTTTGTTTAGTTTTCAATTTGTCAAAACTCTATTTGTTAAAAGTTCATTTGACAAAAATTAGTTATTGTAATAAAAAATTTGTTTGGATACATTTTAAAAAAAAAATCAGTTTAATAAATCAAAAGTTATTTTGATTAATAAAACTTTGTGCTTTTAAAATGTGTTTTTAAATATACATAGACTAAAAAGGACATTAATTTATAAGAATTTATAATTTTTGTTATACAAATATAATATATTATAAATGTTTAAAAATATGAAAAAAAATAAAATAACATAAAAATTTAGTATGCTAAATAATAAGAATAAAAAACATAAAATTTAACATGTTGAACAAAAATTATATAATAAATGGTTCAACATTTATTAATATTAAACGTCAACATGATTAAAAGTTCGATCTATAATTTACAATCTAATTTCTAAATGAATCAAGAACTTTATTTATCTTTCTATCAAAAGCCACACTTAGAATTGATAATGAAAATGCATGCTCATTGATATCATCATGAGAGTTAATTATATTTTCATCTTTAAAATGCCTAAAGTTAGAATCAATGGTAGATTTTCTTTAAAAATAAAGGGTAGCAAAGTTATTTACAAAATTAGGTATATATTTATTCCTCTCATTAAATGCCCCAACTCCCCCTTACATTTCAAATCCAGCTCAAAGTTACTTTTCAAAATCCACATCCAAAATTTTTTTAAATCCACGTTTCAAAAGTCATTTTATCCAATTAAAAAATTCTCAAATAACATTTAACATTTAAAAAGTAAGGAAGTACTTTTTAAATGTCAAATGTCACTTATCCAAACAGACCTGACATCTACCTCAAAAAAAGAGGTTGTGAGTTTTATATTCAAGACCATATGGTGAAAGAATGGGTGTGTGAGTGCTGCATGTGTCACTTTACCCTTTGAAGGAAGAGTCACCCTTTCCTATACAAAAAGAGGTAGCAATGTAAGTGTGTTTGTGTTTGTATTTAATCTCTTGAAAGAGAAGTGGGGGGTCTTCACGACTCTAGATTGTAGACTAAGAAAAATTGCCATAATGTTGTGTAAAAAAAAAAAAAGTGGAAAACACAATCATGAGTTTCAATAGTTTTATCAAATTTTATTTTTAATTTTTATATTTTTTCAGTATTTTTTAATTCTTATAATTTTAATAAGATTGAGTGAAGTTTGTTCTCAAATTTTTATAATTATAAGGATTAAAAATAAAATTTAATAAAAACTATATGATGAATGATTGTATTTTTTCAGAAATATATATATATATATATATATATATGCTGCAATGGGATTATCCGACATGACAGCTTTACTAGGCACTTCTAGTTGCCAAAGAAAATGAAAGCGATGCTCCGACAGTGCCGTGTTTGATGTACCTGAATTTTAATCCATACACGTTCATTTCTATCCACAAAAATAAATAAATGGATGAATAAGAAGTCGGGTCAAACTCTCCATCCCTCTCTCACCAAAATTGGAATTTGAGGTTAATGAATCATTAATCATTATCATCCAGTCACATTCAAATAAAGCTGAACCTAATTGAGGATAATTATTTCAAAGTGTTTCTTTTTTTGTTTTTACTCACGAAATCCAATCCTCAACTTTGCCAAATAAAAGTTGAATCCCACCAATCTACTATTAAATATAAGGAAAAATATGCAGTGGATACGGATACTCAAGAAATTAACTATGCATGTTAATTTAGGTCAATCATACAGATATGGATAGATCATTTAACATGTAATTTAAGTCTATTTCTAGTTCTGATTTTTTTTTTAAAAAAAAGGGACTGACTTTAGTTTTCAATTTAAAGAATTGATAATTAATAATATAATTATATCTTTTTTTCCATTAAAAAATTTATAACTATTTTCTTTTTAAAAAAAAAGCTCCTTTTTTTTTTAAAAAAATCCTTATATATATTTAGCCTCCTACAATTTTTCTTGATAACTACTTCGACTTTTTAAAGGGTGAGCTGCTGGGGAACGGTTTGTGCTCATTTAAGATATGAGATTTAGACGGTCTAAATTAAAAATATTATATTATATTAATTTATTAAAATAAAAAATTATAAAAATTATAAAATAATTTTAATAATTTTATTATTTTTAATCTGATCTAAATTTAATTTAAAGAATTTTATTTAATATTAAAATTTTTATAATTAAATATTTTAAATTTTTCAGATATACTCTATATAGTCTAGATATTCTATGTAAAGTTTATATGGATAATCAATATACATCAATTATAAAAATTTTAATATTAAATTAAATTTAAATTAAATAAAAAATTTATTAAATTATTTTATAATTTTTTATTTTAATAAATTAATATAAAATAATATTTTTAATCTTTACCGTCAGATTAAAACTTGGACGGTCGGAGGTTCAATTCTCAATTTTATTATTGGAGAAAAACGAAAATTGCATCGACTTACAGCATTGGTCACGGCCTTCTTTACGGACTTCATATCTTCCAGGCGGAGCTTGGCAGTAGCCAACTTCCTCGGCCACTCCTCCACCCCTGCGCCGCCGCTTATCACCGTTCTACGGTCACGAACCCACAAGCACCTCAACACAAATTCAATCGAAAAGACCACGCAAAACCACAGCGTTACCACAAAACCCCACAGGTTCTTCCAATCCCTCCAATTCCTTCCTCTGCCCTTCTTCCGATCGAAAGAAACCATCGTTGGCGGCGCCTCCGGATCATCCACCTTCCGGCAGTTCGCAAGCAACATAGACATCAACGAAATCCCATCACCTAAAGCGTGATGGATTCGGAAAATCACGCATTTATGGGCAATTAAAACGTGTATTTCCCACAAGGGTTTGTCTGTGCTGAGTCCAGCAGCGTCGATGCACAACTCCGCCAAGTAATCGTTGACTGCCGATTCATCGTCGCCGGCAGTGGTGGAGATGGAATCTTCGATGACCTTGATGTGTTGGTCGATGTCGACCTCCGTTCGCCGCCAGTGCTCGAGTCCGCGATGGTCGCGTACCATGAGGCTGGTGAATCGTGGGTGTTGGAGCATGAGAGAGTCGCGGATTAAGGGTTTGATGGAGTCCACGTCAATGGGGTTCTTGACTCCGATGACACAGTGGATTACCTGATTCGTGTTTGGCTGGAGGAACAGCCGGCCGGCTGGAGTGAGAGGTTCACCGGATTCGTTCGCCGTCGACCTCATGAGAGAAGCAGAAATCCTTTGTCAGTTGCGGAGAAGAACTGTTCTGAGATCTTACTCGCGGCCTTGGGTCCCGCTCTTTGTAAAATCTCACACCAAATTGCAATTGCATGTTAGCTAATTAGCTAGTACTTAATGTGAAAGCGATAATTTAAACAACGCAGCAGTCTGATAAATTTTTAGAGGGTGATTCTTTTACATTTCTGGCGATCTGGCCATTGAGGCAGAACAAGGAAATGGACAATTATTTGTCATGGATGATAACAGTATAGTATCGACACAAGAGAGACTTAACCAGCCCGATATTGACTATTTCCTCTCTTTAAATTTGCATTTTTTTTTTTTGAATTATAAAGGAAACAGAGTAACTAAAAAACAACTAGCAAAAAAGTTCACAAAGAAACTTTCTTATTATTGACCACCACCTTAATACAATAAGGTAGGAACAATCAAAAGATTGAAACTTACCTACTATATTCAAAGCAAACTTGGGAGAAAAAATGTAAAGTATTTTTAATTAAATATCATCTTCTAATAAAATAATTATTTATTTTTAAATTAACACTATCTTTTCATCTTTATTTTTATTAAATGCTCTACAATAAATATAAAATTATTATAGGGATATTTAAAAAAAACAAGAATTACATCTTGAAAGATTAAAAATGCTTTACATTTTTTAACATTTAATTTTTAAAAAAATACTTTATGTTTTTGAATGGAGGGAATATTTCTTTTTATGAATTTTAAAAAATGGATATAAATATAAAATTTTTTTTAATTTTATTTTTACTAGGTAAGAATTATGTAAATAACGAACTCTGCCAGTGGTTGAATAATTAAAAAAATTAAAAAAAACTTACTTATAAACAATTTTTTTAAAAGCCATAAATAACTTTTTTGGTTGAATATCTGCCATGTTTTATTTAGCATAAGAAATCTCAGCTCTGTTGTTCTCTCTGAGTTGGGCATGGCTTGGGCTAATATTTAGCACAACAAACCCATACTCGTGCTTATGGATTGGGCATCTCAACATTTAGATTATTTTAGAAGCCTTGTAACCCACAGAAAAAAAAAAAAAAAGTTTCTCTTTAGAAGCCCTAATGTATGACTATATAAGTCTTCATCTTTCAGCTGCGTTCTTTTACAGCAGCGGAGGGAATTAGGGTTTTCGGCAATACAACAATGGAGCAATCACAGAATCAAGCTCTCGAACAAGTCCAGTGCTTCGGCCGCAAGAAGACTGCTGTGGCCGTGACCTACTGCAAGCGTGGCCGTGGGCTCATCAAGATCAATGGATGCCCAATTGAGTTGGTGCAGCCGGAGATCCTCCGATTCAAGGCATTCGAGCCGATCCTTCTCCTGGGGAAGCACCGATTTGCCGGCGTGGACATGAGAATCCGTGTCAAAGGAGGCGGTCACACCTCGCAGATATACGCAATCAGACAGAGTATTGCCAAAGCCCTCGTCGCATTTTACCAGAAGTATGTCGACGAGCAGAGCAAGAAGGAGATCAAAGACATCCTTGTTAGGTACGACAGAACCTTGCTGGTTGCCGATCCCAGGCGCTGCGAGCCCAAGAAGTTCGGTGGTCGTGGTGCCCGCGCAAGGTTCCAGAAGTCCTACCGTTGAATGCTTCGCTTCAGTGGAAAAGGTCTCTTTGTGGATTTATATTTCAATTTTCGGTTCATGTTTCATGCTGTGGAAGACTTTTGATGTCGACTAGTAGTTCTATAATTTTGGGCGTTTTACTTTATGGATTGTTGAGATGCTTTTATTTATATCGAGCGTGTCATTTAGGTTGCAATATGAGTATCAATGGCTCTATTTAATTTTGCTCAGTGGGATAGCAATGTTTATGAAATGAAATATGTTTTAGATGTTTAAAATTTACTATAAATTTCTTTGTTTTGTTGGATGATAACCGACATTTTTATTTGTTTATCATATGCTTAACATAGTGTCAAACATAATTAAAATGTTGGTGGACTACAGCGATTCGCGCTTAGTACACGCTTTTCAATGTGTTTAGCATGCTTTCAGGTTTAGTGTTTCATCCCTTTTGATTGAGATGACTTGTTTTTCTTTTTTTTTCGTGCTCTATTCCGATGATGTTCTCAGGCGTCCGTTGATTCTTGTGCAATATATGTTTAGATTGTGAATGATTATGTTCTCTTTGCTTTGATATATATCTTCTCTAATAGAAGAGGTTATGGGTTATGGCGAGCTGTTACGGGAACCCATATAGTATGCCGATGGGATGGATCTGATGCCGTTTTGCCTACCGTGTGCCTCGTATGAGGTTGCCTTGGTTTTATAATCCATGATTTAGTTGATTTTGCCTGGATTTGATAAGTAGTGGTCTTGCCATAAATTTGAGGCCTTCCCGGTGGATATTTGAGTTATCTTAGTTAAGAACTCAGTATCCTGTCAGAATAAATTTTTTATCTGGATCTGACGCTTTCTTTTATTTTTTGGTCTTTATTATGGATGAGTTATTATTTGCATTGCAATTCAGAGGATAAGGAAAGCTTTTTAGTATGGCAAGGTTGATTTAGGCTTTACAATTGAATTCAATTTTATGTTGAAAGTCTGAAGAGATGGATTATAATTTTTACTGATCATTGTTTCAATGATGCCGATATCCAGAAATGAATGCGTGTCATGGCTTCTAGCCTTCTAGCCCCGATGGGTCAGTGAGAGGTTTTTCTACTTTACTAACTATAATAAACCCTTGTTTCTCTGATTATGATTATGGTGCTAAGTTTTACTAGAATGTTTCTGAGAATCTATTTTATATGTATAGAATTTTAGGACGGACGAGTCTTTTTTAGAGGAGAGGATCCTCTCCTCTTCTCTTCCCATCATTTTCCCCTCCTCTTCCTCATTTTTAACCACTAAATCAAAATTTATATGGTTTAGATTGATGTCTTATAAAATGTTATGTTTTGTTTTGTTTTTGCTATATTTTTAATTGCTTATATTGAATTTTAACCGTATGAATTTTATTATTCATATATTTTTTATAATTTAACATTTTAATAATAATTTTATAAAAAATCAAATCTGAACTATTTAAATATCTAATAAAGAAGGGAAGAGGATGGGAAATGAATCGGGAGAATCCTTGCCCCTTTTTCAGGAACACAAACCGCGTTGTTCTCTTATTAATCTGGATCTTGGAGAGATTTGATGGTATATATTTTATTTAGACATTATTATTGAGATATTAAAATTGAGGGGGAAACAGACATAGTCTTGAATCCATGAAGTTAGCCTCATGTTTGAAAATAAATCTATTTGAAAATAAACCTTATGTTGGTCACTTGAAGTCTTGAAACCATGAAGTTAGCCTCATGTTTTAGTTTGCTGTGTGTGCATGACTGTGGGGAAAAAAACAGAAGGGTTGGTACATCCTTTGGACTTTGGAACATGCGATACGAGTACATGGTATCTAACCAATCTACTTTGCACTGGTTGATATCGATTCAAATTGTTAGAGCAAAGCTATAGCCCTTAGTTACTTGGAATAACCAGAAACTTGTGCATTATCTTTTTGGCTTGCTTAGAAATTTTGGGACCTTAGCAAGAATTACTAGAAGGGTCTAGTGTGATGTAATTAATCAATTTTTCCTGTAATTTTTGTCAAGGTACAATAATTAATCAAAACCTTATAAATAGAATTAATTAATAGATAATGAGACATGTATAGTTCATTGCCTTTGAGAGTTCAATTGAATGATCCTATTCCCATGCAATAAGGAACCTGTGAAATATCTTTAAAGTGAAAATAAAAAAAGACTAAATGTGCATTTATGTCATTGAAGTATTATCTGAGGAGTATTCAATATTTTAAAGTATTTGTTATATCATTTTCGACCCTAAAATCATTAAAATAAAACAATTTTGCCTTCAATGTTAAATGCTCTGATATTGATTGTTAAATTAGGTGAAAGAAAGAGGGGGGGTGAAAATTGACCCAACATGCCAAGTATGCTGCCACATCAACCCCACTCTAACCCCTTCCTTTGTCTAATCCCTTCCAACCCGCTCCAATTTCTCTTGCATCTCCTATTCATCTTCTCTCAAGGCGTCTGTCATTTTTCTGATGAATTGGATGATCAATCAAGATCTAACAGATATTAATCAGATCTCCATGGAGAACAAGATTGAAGAACCATCCTTTAGACATCAAAATAAAATCTCAAAAATCAGTGGACCGTTATAGGGATGCTGGCTAATTATGGTGAGCTTCTCGACGGAGACCCGATGACCATCAGCTTCTCGACCTGGTGTAAGTACTTTCGTGGCGCTAGGCCAACCACTGGTGGTCCCGTAGGAAGTTTGATCAAGGAAAGCCACGATCTCCCTCTTAAGCGTGGCAGCATTGTTGGTGTTACCGAAGGTGGGGGAAAGATTGGTGGCTTGAGCATCTGGCTTAATGTCTCCCTGGAGATGATGCCGTTAACGCCACATGCCACACCAACGCGCTCAACACAGTCTCATGTCACAGAAAATGGGGCCCGCGAGACAATGTGTAATGGACATTTGTGGATATTTAGCATCAGGGTGAGTGATGTTTCGATTGAATTATTTTAAAAGTGAAAATGCGACAACAAATACTATAAAATATTATGTGCTATTTAAATAATTCTTTAAATGTAAAAATGCCCTTTTATTTTTTTTAAAAAAAAAGTATGATAGGAGTATATAAATGATGAAGCTGGACTCCTTTGCTATTCAAGCATTTTAATTAACTTTCTTGAAGGAAAAAAATTAGTGACGCTTTGTTTCCACTTGCTCCTTTGAAGTTCAGAAAAAGGAAAAATAATTTTATTTACAATATCCATATTATCATATGCCTTTTGTTCACTTCAAAGTCAACGTCACTTGAAAATAACCAAAAAGGAAAATCAGAAAACAACTTATTCTTATTTATCCACCAATTTTATACCAAAATAAGAATTACGATCAAGAAAGACAAGGATATGGAGTGTTACATTAAGAAGACGAGAGAAATATTTAAAACCATGAAAAAGTCAACGTAGGCGGATTTCAGAATATTGATCTTTGCATGCTGTGATGGGGAGGAGAGGATATCACTGTGGTAAAGTTTCAGAAAGTGAACTCGTATGATCCGACGGTAGAGAGTGACTCCATCAGCAAGCGAAGCATGCAAATTTCAATCCTGGGTCCACAGCAGGAGCCTGCCTTCCGGATCTCCAACTTAAAGTCTCCACACATGACGTGTTTTTTTATGGGCGCATTACGTGGTGCCGCGATAGAATCTCTGCACGGTGTTTGTCGTAGCCGATCACACCCCTAACCTTTGACCCGCTCCATCAGCCTCTTGTGGTAGTTGAGGTAATTGTCCTTGTCAGCATCCACAAATATGAAATCGAAGCTCCCATGATTCTTCTCCTGCATTTAATTTCTTTCAGAATTTTTTTGAATTGTTTCATTGTTTTTGAGAGAAATTTGAAGATGAAGAAAGTTTACATCTTTAAGGAGTTGGTCAAGAACACAAAGTGCAGGGTCTTCTCTGAATTCAATTTTGTGAGCAACATACCAGCTTTCTCAAATGTTTGACGACCCACCTCATAGTTCTCCCTACTAATGTTTGAGGCAAATATTTATGAATAAAATTTGCAGAAAGAAAGTAGTTATTTTTTCTTCTGTTTCAATTAATAGCACAACCTAAGTAATCATTTCTCAATGCATGATAGTCATTGAGGACAAATATATCATTTCATCAAAAATTAAAATGAGAGGCAAATTTTCAAAAATTAAATAATAATTATCACATTTTACAGTATTTAATTATCTTTTGCATATTTTAAGATTTTTTTTTGTCATTTTCTCTTTCTTTCCCCAACAAGGAGATGAAAAAGAGTCTTGCAAATTGCAAAATATAAATAAGAGGGGCTGATGGCCCAATTATTAAGAATCATTTTTCAATTCCCCAACTTTTTAGGAATAGTATGCTGTTCCTTATATTTTCCAAGATTCTTTTTCAAAAATTGCACAAAGCAACGCAAACAATTAAATGCACTTGAATAAGATTTGAATTTTTATTAAAAAAAATACTCACATTTAATATTTAGCCATTACTTGAATAAGATTCTCTTGAAAGGATACCTATGAATAATCCAAAAAAAAATTAAATAAACTTGCTAATTTTAATTTTCTTAAAAAAGGAGTATAAACATTTAAAAATTTCATTCATTTAAAACAACCCATAACTAGCATTTTCTCTTTCTCCATTAAATTATGGAGGGTATTTTACAATTGTATTTTTTAATGTATAATTATTTTTTCCAAAACATATTATTAGAAAATGAAACTAAATAAATTTAAGTACATCTAAGATACATACCTCATGAATAACGTTATATTAATATTCATGACCATGGCCATGTATTTGTATCCTTTTTCTAATGGTCCACCAATCGCTCATTAATAACAATCCCATTCAATGCATAAAAGTTTGAATATTCTCATGCTTTCTTTGGCTAATACCCCCTCCATTTACAAATAAAAAATATTTTTAATCTTTTAATATATAACTATTATCTTTTTAAAAAAATGTACCTATTAAATAGATTATTTTATACCTTTTTAGGGTGTAAATAAGGATAAATATAAAAATATAGAGTTAATTTAAAGATAAGTATTACTTTATTAAATGTAAGATTTTGTTAAAAATGCCTTACCTTTTTTAATAGAGGGAGTAATCTTTTATTGTTATAATATCTAAAAAATTGTGATATAATTAACATTAAAATATGTCTTCTACTGCTGAATTTCTCATATTACGTACTCAAAAGATCCAAATTAAATCCATATAACATATAGTGATAAGAAAGAAAGTGATTTTCAATTTGACTAATTTTTTATTATGACTTTGTATTCTATAAATAGAAACTTTGTTGAGTGATTTTGAAGTTAAGATATGATGGGAAAAAAACAGGTGCAAAATAAATAAAGGGAATGATCTTTTGATTTTATTTTTTCACAATACCTACTTTAAATTAATATATAAAGGAATAAAGGATTAAAAATAATATTTACCACTCTACCAAAGAAATAATATTTACCAAAAAATGGTTCGGAAACAAAGGAACCATTTTAAATAGTGGACGATCCTAAAAACCCCTCCTTATTGTTGGCACCAATAGGTAAAATTATAGTTTAAGTCATGCTCAAGAATACTATTCTTAAAAGCTATTTCACTATATTAGGTTGATTGCGCAACAGCTTCCCAAAATAACTCAGGCAATACTAACATTAATGAAGCAATGAGAGAGAAAGAGAGAAAGCTCATCTTTGAGGCTCTCTAAAAGCATGTGGCAATTATTGCCTTTTATAGGTAGGTATCTCAAAAATTAAACAATAAAAACACATTAAACACAATTAAAAAAATAATTTCATATAATAATGAGGTTTAATATATATGTTATGACATACTTTTTTTAAATAGTATTTAATACTATTAATTTATAATAATTTCTTTTAAAATACTCATAAATATTTTATAATATCCCACAATCTCCCATAAATTTTAAAAGGAGGGAAATTTTTTTGAAAAACTATCTTATACAAATAATTTTATATTTCCACAAAATAGTTTTTGAAATTTTGAAAAATTGCCTAGTATCACGTCTAACTTGTGCGCAATTGTATGTGAGAACTTATTTCTCCTCTAAGCCTATTTACTAACCCAAATTTACATTTTAGTATTTATAAACTAAGGCTTCCATTCATTTGAGCAACATAAGACTTTTTCTTTTAACACCATTGCAACAATCTCCCATATATGTTAAAAGAATCACTATCATTTGAGTTATTACATAGAAGATAATCACTTCGAATTTAGTATCTTTCGACTTGAACTAAACCTAGATTAATAAAACTTAGAACACCAAAAAGTTGATGTAACTTTGTTATTAAACCAACATATCTTGGTTATGTGCTAAAGGCCTTATTAATTGAATTATACCCCGTAATTTTCACTATTATCAGCAATTGTGCACGTTATCGGCCATATGTGGGCTGATTTTAACAAATGTTCTAGAAATTTTGCCACAATCTCATAGGAGCAACCCTATTATACATTCGTATTGGTAATTTTATCAAGTGTATCTGCAATGAATACACCATCCAAAAAGATTATGAAAATTATTAAAAGCTTTTGCTCAGCCTTTGATCAATACATTCTAGTACTTTCTCTAGACATAGAAAATGACATAAAATTTAATGCTAGTAAAACTAATAAGTGACTTATTCTTATCCACTGAACCTTCTTCATAGAATCTCCAATCATAAAAGTTGAGTTGTCATCACCGTCAATTTCAAATAGGCTTAAGTCTCATTTCCCTCGACATTTTAATAATTAATTTCTTCCCTAAAGGTTCATTAAAGGATCTATCAAATTTACATATGATCTCATATAATCGAATGAGATAACTTCCTCTTTTATCTTATTTAATTGTATCTTAAATTATGTCTACCTATGTCACTATTCTCTTTACAATGACTATCGTCATTTGGCAACTGCATAAATTATCAACATAATATGTGTCAATTTTACTCTCAATGCAATATTATTCACTACGAAGTTTCTCAACTACTTAGCTTAATTACTAGCTAACTTTATAGTAATATACTCTGACTCACATAATATTTTATTTGACTACCAATGAATTTTTTCTCATTTGAATATAAAATTCAATCACTGTATTATTTCAATACAATGGAAATTCATTATATGTGATACCATCATTTATGGTATCCCTCAAATACTCACTTGTCTCATCCTCTTAAGACTACTTGATATGCTCAATCTTCATACAATATGACTATATCATGAAATTAACATTAATAGCTTTGGCACACTTTATTTGAATCCCTCAACCACAAATCATATTATGATATCATATACCAAAATCAAACAAAGTAAAAACTAGATATTTGAACTTATCTCTTTTTTTTATTATTATTTGCAATCAATTGGAAGAACTTTATCTATAGGCAATAGTTCTTAAATTTATCGACACCAATAGATAAAATCATAGTTTGAATCGTGTCCAAGAACATTGTCCTTAAGAATTATTTCGTTACACCAGGTTGATTGCACAATAACTCCTTAGGATTAAATAAACTCATCCTACAAAATGAAAGGGAATACAAAACAACAAAAATTCTTAAAATAATTCAAGTAATACCAACACTGATGAAGTGATAAGAGAGGAGGAGAGGAAGCTCATCTTTAAGGCTCTCTAAAAGCATATGACAAGTATTACCTTTTATAGACGGATATATTAAAAATTAGGCAATAAAAACACACTAAATACAATTAAAAAATAGTTTCATGTAATAATAGGGTTTAATATATATATATATATATGTTATAATATAATTTTTTAAATAGTATTTAATGCTATTAATTTATAATAATTCCTCTTAAAATATTAATAAATATTTTATAATATCCGACCCTTACAACTTGCAAGGTGCGTCATTTCTCCCGAGAGGAATCATCATCACTTGTAATTTAAAGCAAAAACAGAACAACAACAACAACAACAACAACAACAACAACAACAACAAAAGAAACGTTACATAGAGAAAATCAACAGCGGACTTTTCATTTGATTCGACGGCAGAGAGTGATTCCATCACCAACAGAAAGCATGCAGATCTCAATCCTAGGGTCCACAACGAGAGCCTTGTTGAGCTCCAACACGAACTCTCTGTAATACGTGACGAACTGCATTAAGGGCTCATCGGGTGTTGCCACGACAGAGCCGTACCACAGGGTGTTGTCGTAGCCGATCACGCCCCCCACCCTCACAAGCTCAATGAGCCTCTCGTGATAGTTGAGGTAATTGTTCTTGTCGGCATCCACAAATATGAAATCGAAGCTCCCATGATTCTTCTCCTGCATCCATTTTTCCTCCAGTTTCAGCCTTTTTTTTTTTTTTGCACTTTTTTATTTTGGGATTGAAATTTTAGAGACGAAGATGCACAATGCTTACGTCTTTAACGAGTTCGTCCAGAAAGGGAAGTGCTGGGCCTTCTTTGAATTCAATTTTGTGGGCCACACCAGCTTTCTCAATTGTTGGACAGCCCAATTCATAGAATTCTCTTTTCATGTCCATAGCCAGTATCTGCATAAAAAAATCAAACCACCTTGTTTAAAAAAAAAAAAACAAAGAAAGAAAACAAAGAAAAGAAAAGAAACCGAATACTCCTACATTTTTTACTCTTTCGAAAAAAAAGTGAAAATTAATTAAATATTATAATGTTATGTCTAGACAAGTGAAGATTTAGATTTAGATTCAGACCAAATAAATGTTTCTATTTTAATAATAAAAATATAAAATCGCACAAATCAATCATTTATGTTGAAAATTTATAAAAACTTTTTTAATTTTTAAAATAAAAATAAATAATTGAGGCATCTATAAAATTTCATTAAAATTTGATAATCCCTTGTATACACAAGTTTTTTAAAATTATACAAAAATATTAAAAATGAATATAGAAATTTTAAAAATAAAAATATACAAAATTTGAGTTATAATTCAGTAGAAAATTATATAAACTATTCGTTTTTTTTATGAAATCATAACTGTCATTTTATATTTTCATGTAATATAAAAACTCCATCGAGCCAATTATATTATGAGATATTGTTTAGTTTTTCTTTGCCAAAATTGAGACATTTTACGTAACGCATACAGATCAATCATTGCAATTAGACAACGTCCTAAAATATTCTAATCTCTTCAAATATATACGTTCATTAGATATAATTGAGGCTCCTAAAAAATTAGAAAGAATGATATAAAAATCCTAAAAGAATCAATTAATTCAAGTGAAATCATAAGTGTCAAACTTTAGAAATTTATAACTCAATCTCTCAATTTTACAACTATGTTATAATGAATTTGCAACTTCTCTTTTAAATTTTACATGGTTGAAAAATAAAATTTTTTATTTTTCTTGATAAAATCTAGAATATAAATTGTAAATTTATTACAACGGAATTACAAAATTAAAAAATTAAATCATAAATTTTTAAAATTTAACACTTAAAATTTAACTTAAATTAATTAATCATATTTTAAAACCTTTCTATCATTCTCCCAAAAAATTAATAAAGGTAAGTACTCACATTTTTTACGGGTTTACCTCGGGTAAGTACTAAGTACTATTACTTTACTCCCTCTGTTGCTAATAAATTACTGGCCAAATTTTTTTTTTTCATTGCATAAGTTACTTCAATTTATAATACATGGTAGTAAAATAACCGATTCTATTTTGGAATATGATTTTTTTAAAAATCAAATTCTCAAATAAAATTTGTTCAAAAAAAAAATTCTCAAATAAAATTGACTCATAAGAGAACACTTATGCACACCTTGCCGTCATCAGGAAGAGCGAGGGCGGTGGCGAGCAAGGAGTAGCCGGTGTACACCCCAATCTCCATAGTGTTCTTGGCGTTCATGAGTTTAATTAGCATGTTTAAAAACTGCACTTCGTCAGCCGATGTGGCCATTATGTTCCTATACATCATTATTATTTTCATCATCAAAACCAACACACAGATAAACCTGAATGCACATGTCAATGTATCATTACGAGAATCTCAAAGTGTACGTACAATGGATGCTTTTCTGTTATCTCTCTCAGCTCCTTCATGGATTCTGGTTCTCTCGGATACACACTGGTTTCCAGAATGTACTGCAACAATAATATTCGATCTTTGTCAAGTTAATAAGAAATGGCTTTGGTTTTGGGATACGTCGTCGTACCTGGTACAAAGCATCGCTCTGCAAGAGGTTCTTGTGGACAGCGTCGTTTTGGTGCATCGCTGCTTCACTTTGCTTTTGGTCTCCGTTGGAAGCCATTTGTTACCTTTTTCTGGTCTCTCTTCCTTGCTTTTTCGCTCTGCGTTTGAGAGTGGCAGAAGGCTGAGCATTGGGATGAAGATGAACGGAAAGACGGCAATATGTGTGTGTGTGTGTGTGTGTGTGTGTAACCGGCTACCAGCAACGGGTTGAGGAACATTTACGTTTGCGGAAGACTTAAATTTGCGAAGCACGTTAAGATTTTTAATTAACAACTTTTAATTTAAGCAAAAGAATTTAAAATATTTCTCTTGAGCAGTTTTTCATTTTAAAAAGGTAAAAGTGCACACTTGATGGCAATCTAACTCCACACAAGATTTTAATTTTTACAAAAATTTCTCTTCAATCCTCTAACTCTAATAATATTATTAGTTCCATAAATAAAAATGGTTGAGATTGTAATTTTGAATGCTGATAAATAATTCGAGATGATTATTTTTTTCAATAATTGTTATTTTTTAAAAATAAACTTAATGGGTTAACATCCACAAATATTTTGTTAGCATTTAAAATTACTATCTTGGTATTTTTTTTAAATAAAACTAACAACATTGAAGTTAAAAAAACTAAAAAATATTTTATAAAATTTATGAACCAGGATAAAACCACGTGTAAAGTTAAATGATTAGAGGTGTTTAGATTATTTTTTGAGAAAATCATGATTTGAAATTCATAATTAATTTTGACATATAATATGAGTCCTTGGATATGTAGATATTTTCAAGAAAGCCATAATATATGTTTCATAATTAATTTTAACATATAATGGGAGTGTTTAAATATATTTTCACAAAACCATAATTTTATCTCATTTTTAATTATACTCAAAATCAATCTTATTAATCAGTTTATAAATCAATTATACCACAGAATATAATTAATTGTATTCAAATTTAATCATATCAATAAATTTTATCAAATCTCAAACATACCTTACATAAGATGTCATCTAGAAAAGGGAGTTAAGACTCAAAGAGGAGATCAATAACATCTGAGGTAAAGAGATAACGCCCACCCACTACTCCTAAACCCCATCCAGATAAGCAGCTGGCCCATTAGAGCTTTTCTCATAGTCCAATTACTCGTAATAAATTCTAAGCCTATTCATTGCATATGGTTTTTTTTTTTTTTTTCCTGAATTCATTACATATAGGTTTAAATCTTCTCAAGCTATATTCGGCTGATAGTCTTTTAATGGTTACTGCATCTGCAAAAAAAAAAAACAAACAAACAAACAAACAAAAACAAGAGAAAAGAAAAAGGTCTGGTGGAACATTGAAATGTGTGTGTGAAGATAATTTCTTCTACTACTCAATTTCTCACTTTTAAATGTGTGTGTATTATAAAGTGAAGCTCTATCAAACAACAACTACATAGGAATGACAATGTGATATGATAGTTGATGTTGAGTTTTAAAAGAATAATAATAACATAAAATTAAAGTAATAGAGATAAAAATGTTGACATTAATGTATAGTAATTATACAAGAAAAATTGTTATTCATAATGATCATATAACATAAAGAGTTAGTGTAGCATCTATTAAAGAAAAAATAATATCATATAAAGTAGTTGGGACATATACAAATAAGATCACTGAAAAAGTCCATGAAAAGACTTGAACTATAAATTTAGAGATATATAAGAAAAGTTAAAAGAAAACTAACAAGAATATTTTAAAAAGTTATTCAATAAGACATTTTGGTCAATAATTTATTTAAATATTTGATTGCTGATAAATATAATAATGTTTTAATATCTGTGCAATCCATGCAATTGACTTTATTTATTAAGACAGGGTTTGTTGTTGTTGTTGAAAAATATAATATATATGGCAGGAGATCCAAATCTGTATAACATATAGCAACCAAAAAAAAAAAAAGAAAATACTTTCTTATTTGATAAATTTTGTGTTTTGAATTTATATTCTATAAAATAAAAACTTCTTTCTGTACTTGTGAAGTTAAAATGTGATGGAAAATAACGTGTGCATTAAAGTTAAGCAAATGAACCTGACACCTTTTGTTCGTTACAATAACTATTTTTAATTAGTGGGCTGGGCAATTCTAATTGCCCCTCTCTTTTCACTTTAGCTCATCCGCTATTATCAAATTGAGATCAGAGGATAAAATGATTTTCTTTATAATATTAATATTATTACAAGATGCCTCATTTTCTATGGAGAGGTGTCATCACTTGACAATTTAAAGCCAAAAATAAAAAATAAAAATCCACTTCAACACATTTTCATTCATTTCCTGTTGTATAAACAGAAGTAGACGTTACATAGACGACAAAGTCTTAGAACTTAAGATTAGTCAACAGCGGCCTTTTCATTTGATCCGACGGCAGAGAGTGATTCCATCACCGACAGGAAGCATGCAGATTTCAATCCTAGGGTCCACAGCGAGAGCCTTGTTGAGCTGCAGCACAAATTCTCTATAATACATGACGTATTTCCTTAGGGGCGCATCAGGTGGTGCCACGACAGAGCCGTTCCATAGGGTGTTGTCGTAGCCGATCAGACCCCCAACCTTCACAAGCTTGAGGAGCCTCTCGTGATAGTTGAGGTAATTGTCCTTGTCGGCATCCACGAATATGAAATCAAAGCTCCCATGATTCTTCTCCTGCATCCATTTTTTTTTTTCCAGTTTTAGTCTCTTTTTGTTTCATTTTTTTTTTGATTAAAAATTTCGAGATGAGGATGCGTAAAGCTTACGTCTTCAACGAGTTCGTCGAGAACAGGAAGTGCTGGGCCTTCTCTGAAGTCAATTTTGTGGGCCACACCAGCTTTCTCAATTGTTGGACGGCCCAATTCGTAGTTTTCTCTGTTAATGTCCATTGCTAGTATCTGCATCAAAAACAAATAACAGTTCTTTTTTAAAAAATATTAAATAAAAATCCAGAAACTGAAGACCCCTGCATTTTACATTTAAAGCGAACATCATGGCTCATTGAAACAGATTAATGATAGAAATAAAGTGGGGGTGGGGCATTTCATTAAAATCTCTGGTAAAGGCACTCATCTCAATGCAATTCTCAGGAACTGATGATAAAATCACACAAATCATTCATTTATACAAAATTTGAGTATAATCACTGAAAATTTATATAAACTGTTAATCAATTTTTAATAAAATAATTTTATAAAAAAATTATAATAAAATAAAAAATAAATGCATTTCATTTATTGTATTCATAAATGTTATTTTATATTTAGATATAATATAAAGCCCCGACCAACCATATTATAGTACTAAGACATTATTAATCTTTTTTTTTTTTGCCAACCATAAGATGTTACAACTAACTAATAATACAAATCAAGGTTGTTAAATTCATAAATTTAAGTAAATTCGTGACAAGTATGTAAATTCACATTGTAAACTCAAATCATAAACTCGTAAGAGTTTATCTCTATTAATAAATATCCATTGAAATATAATTGTAATTTAATTTAAATATACTAAAAATATAAATAATTAAAATTAAATTCATTTATATTGATAAATTATCCTATAGAAGACATAAAAATTTTAAAATAGAGGAACTTATTTTTGACATTTTTGTTTTTTTTTTATTAATATTAGTTTTTGCATTTCAAGTTTTTTTTTCTTTGAACCAGATCTTATAACTTTTATAAACTGAATTTTTTATAATATATACTTAACTCATTCAACTCAAAAAAAATTAATGAGTTTAACAAGTTTAATGAAGCTTGCACCCAGTTCAAGTTTATAAATTAATTGATATGATTTTATAAGTTAGAAATACAAAATGATAAACTCATAAATTTAATTAAATTTATATTTAATTTAAATTTATGTGTGAGTTAACATGATTTTATAAATTTAAAATATTAAAATGTTAAACTTGTAAAATCAACTTGAGAATTTGACAACTATGATACAAATACAATTAGCCAACGTCCTAAAATATTGTTATCCTTTTAAATATATATGCTTTTCTCAGGATATAATTGACCGTCCTAATAAAAAAAATGAATCAAATTAATAAAGATTAATGGCCCGTTTTTTCTTTTGATTTCCGGAAGTTGCTTTTTCATTATTAATTAATAATTGGAATAAAATGAGACTTAGTACATCACCTTGCCGTCGTCGGGCAGAGCGAGGGCGGTGGCGAGCAAGGAGTAACCGGTGTACACCCCAATCTCCATCGTATTCTTGGCGTTGATCAGCTTCAGCAACATGTTCAAGAATTGTCCTTCGTCCGCCGATGTTGTCATTATGTTCCTGTTTTTTTTATTTTTATTTTTTCATTTTAGTATTATGTTTTACCAACCCAGAACCAGACAAAGCAGAACAAACAAACAAACCAACCAACCAACCCAAATATTCATAAAGATCAATTATGAGATCTTTCATACAAGTCTCCCTTACCAGGGGTGCTTTGCTGTTATCTCTCTCAGCTCCTTCATGGATTCTGGTTCTCTTGGGTATACACTCGTTTCCAGAATATACTGCAACATCGTTTACGTAGTCACATATATATTTGATTCTCGTATCACAATATGAATATATGTTAATTATGAGAAGGAAAAAAAGGTTTCGATTTGGTGCAGTGTGAGTACCTGGTACAGGGCATCGCTCTGCAAGAGGCTCTTGTGCCCAACCTCTTGGTGCCTTCCTGCTTCACTTTGCTGCTTCTGTTCTCCGTTGGAAGCCATTTTGACACCTCTAAATGCTCAACCTTTTATCAACTTTTTCCCTTCTGAGTACTTAATTATGCTCTGCGTCGTCTAATGTTTAAAGCAGAGCTTGGAGATGAAGGTGAATGAACATGGCCGTATAAATAAGGCCGGGGAAGTCCGGCTTGAACCGGGGAGATTTTTGCTGTGTTTGTTTGAACCGGTCACTACCCGGTCGGGGGTTGGTGAAGTCGTTGGATGCGTGAACCTGGGCCCACGCTCCACACTCTATTATTGAGTCTATCATTGGGTCGCACTAGTCTAATTTTTATTAAAAATAATTTTATAATTTCATAAAATATTCTTAACTGGATTTTTAATAAAATAATTTATAAAAGCCAGATTTAGTTTTAAAAATACACTTTGGTAATAATCAGAGCGTGGGTTTAATTTGAATTATTTTTTAAAATGTAAGATACTCCATTTAATATGGAAAAAGAATTTATATGTAGAAGCTACTACTGTAAAGTTTTCAATTATTGTTCCCTCTGTTTGCAGTCCAAAAAAGTGTGCTATATTCTATCTTTTTGTTGAATGCAGCATGCATCTATAATTTTTTGGCCAGAAATAAAACACACTGTACAGGTAGGGGTAGGTCCAAGAGGGTGTGGTCGGAAGGAGTCGAAAGTTTATTGGGGTTGGTTTGGGGTTGGTGAGATTCAAAACAAAGTAAAGTTATTCAATGAATTATCTACAATTAATATTATTTATTGCCAACAATAATTAATATATATCCACGAGTTAGTACTATATAAGTTAAATGTTTGGACTTTTTGTGTCGGAAAAAAATATTTGAATTCATAAAAAACATATAATACCTTTCCTTAAAAAATAAAAAATATTTTTTAAAAGTCAGATATTTAAAAATATAAAATATTTTTAATTTTTTTAATATGTAATTAATAAATTTTTTAAAAAATATTCTTAATAAATAAATCACTCAATCATTTATCTTTAAATAATACATTCTATTAAATAAAGGTGAATATAAAAAAGTGATATCAACTTAAATACAATTAACTAATTTATTAAAATATAATTTAATTAAAAATATTTTATATTTTTAAATAAATGGTATGTACAAAATGTGTGGATCAATGTTTAGTTTTAAAAAATTAAAAATAAAATATTAGAAAAGAATGAAGGAAAGAAGGTTGGTGGGCACCATCGGAATACGTGGAGGAATATCTTGACAATGGAAGAGTTAGGTACTCGCTGAAAAAGTCAAGATCCTTCGTTGTTCATGCATTAATGTGATTGTGATGTTGCCTCCAATGGTTCAAGTGCAAGTGAAATGCGCGCA